CTGGCCCGAGCCCCAACCACTCCTTGTGAGCCTGCCCACCTAAGCACCCAACGCTGGCCCACCCTTGGGCCTCTAAACTCCACACCAAGGCAACTCCTCCTAAGACCCAGTCTCCCAGCCCTCAGGGCCCCTCCCGTGTATTGGCCTCCTGAACCCTCCACCACTCCCCTTCCGCATCCCTGCTGAGTCCACCCCCAGCCCAGAGCCACACCAAGCTGCCTGAGCTCCAGAGCCCTGACCCAATGTGAGCCGTGCCCACCCAGACCCCTGAACACTGCCCAAACTGTGGGTGCCTGAACCCACCCCCTGTGAGCCTATCTCCTGAACCCCAACTCTTCTGAACCCAACCAAACTCCCCCAGCCCCCTGTAAGCCTCTGAACCCCACCAAGCCCACCTGGGTCCTGCAGTCCACTCACCTCCTGCCACTCAAGGACCCCACTCCAGGCCAGGAGTTTGTTGGAGACCGACTGCTGGCCCCCCAGTGCTGAGGCACCCAGCTGGGCTGGGGAGGGGCCACTCACACCCCCTGGGGCCACTGACCCTGCCTGCCAGAGGGGAGGAAGGAGGGTAACGAGATCAGGGTCAGACCATTTCCTCAGAGGACTCCCTGACAGAAGGACCTACCAGGCACCCCTGTTCCCAGAACACCGCTGTAAAGCAACCCTCTAGGTTTCTGGGGAAACTCCGGTAGTGTAGTGCCTAAGGCACTTGACCGTTAACCAGAAGGCTAAGGGTTCAAACCCACCAGCCACTCCTCAGAAGGAAGATTAGGCAATCTATTTCTGTAGAAATAGCGCCTCGGAAACCCAAGGAGGGATTGCTATGAGTCGGATCCATCTGGAGAGCAGTGAGTAGGCTTCCAGGACTCTCAGGGTCACGATACTCTCATCTCCAGGAACCATAACTCCCAGGATGCCTTGGGCTCCTTAACCCACCCTGACCCATGGCAACTGTAAGGCTAAGGATCCTAATCCCACACCCTCTAGTCTCAGAGGCACCAGAAACACAAGCACAGACCACAACTCTCGGGCCC